TTAAGAGCCTGGCTGCTAACCAAAAGGTTGCCAGTTCAAATCCACCAGCCATTCCTTGGAAACCCTATAGGGCAGTTCTACTCTGTCCCACAGGGTTGCTATGAGTCAAAATTGACTCGACAGTAATGGGTCTGGTTTGGTTTTGGTATAGTTCTTTTTACTCGACTAACAATTGCTTCTATTTAAAACCCTCTGATATAATTTTAAATTTATCCAGAATCGGACCAAGCAATCACTTTCTCTTTTGCTGCTAATTCTAATTATTCTACAAAGAAGGGAATAATGTATCTGACTTCCTACAGGAGGTAACAGAAACAAGGGAAAAAAGGAAACAAGCAAGCAAACGAAAGAAAAAAGAGATGAGAGGAAGGGAGCTAAGAGTACAGAGTGCTCAAACTCCAGAGATGTCATAACTCTGGGCTGGGTCTGTGTGCTGGGTCACAGCACCTGTGACACTGCCTGGGAACCCTGCATTATTAATCTCCACATCTATCTGTTCATCAGGTGAGGAGCATTCTAAGGGCAGGGACAACCTACTGTCATCACCATATCACCTAACACAGCACCTGGCACCAAGTGGAACACCAACACCTGTCTGCTCCATAACTAAATACAAAATTTATCTAATTCTACACTGTAGACTAAATCTTAGTATAGTTGTTTATAATGTAAAGAAAATCGAAGAAACCCAATTTAAATTTTAAAGAAGTTAGGTGTATAAAATGCCAAGACTCCTTTACTCTTCTAATAAAAATATTTAGAAATATGTCACTAAATTGAGTACATATAACATTATGTTGAAAACCATCATTCACATTTTTCGGGTAAAAGTTCGCTGAAATTTTCAAGTAAATTTTTAAAAGTCCCCATATTTGAGAAAAAAGAGCTAGCTCTGAGGCCAAATATTTAACGATAATATAGAAAATACGCGAAAATGTATTCTAAATCGTCTAACTCCATGAAGCAACTGCATATATAATCAAAATAGGATATTTATAGCAAACTCATGAAATAAAGTGTGCACACACACAAACCCATTGCCGCTGAGTCAATTCCAACTCACAGAGACCCTACAGGACAGAGCAGAACTGCCCCACAGGGTTTCCAAAGCTGTAATCTTTACAAAACAGACTGCCACATCTTTCTCCTGTGGAGTGGCTAGTGGGTTCCAACTGCCAACCTTTTGGT